AAACTTGCCCCCCACCACAAAAAAAAAAGGGGTCCTTTTTTTTTTTTTTTTTAACTTGCGTTACATAATCTGTTAATGCAGTTGCTCTTCACTGCCACCTACGGTCTGCCACGATTTGAGACTCAGTCATTTGAAGGGTCTCTGGTCAGTCGTGGGTAAAGTCCATTAGCTCTAATTTCCCAACAGGACAAAGTCGTTTTTTGTTTTTTATTTAAATCATTTGTCAGTTCAGAAGTCGTTCAAACTTCTGCATGAACATCTTCTCTAAATCCGACCCCTCGACTCTCCTCCTCCAGGTGAAGATGACGACGACGAGGAGTGCGGTGAAGAGAAGCTGCCGTCCTGCTTCGACTACGTCATGCACTTCCTCACCGTCTTCTGGAAAGTTCTGTTCGCCTTCGTCCCGCCCACAGACTACTGGAACGGCTGGGCCTGTTTCGTCGTCTCCATCTGCATGATTGGTCTGCTCACCGCCGTCATCGGTACGATGACCACTGAACACATCTGTCTCCACGGAGTAGGATTCAGTTTGACCAACTTTTAAAGTTCAACTTTTTGTATTTCCCCAAGGCCCGACCCTGGTGTCTGTTCTCACAGGTGACCTGGCCTCCCACTTCGGCTGCACAGTCGGCCTGAAGGACTCGGTGACCGCGGTCGTATTCGTTGCGTTGGGAACCTCTGTACCAGGTGAGCAAACACTTTACAGTCAAAGTCTGTAAACAACGACTCCTTCAAGATAAACAGACTCTGACGTTTCCGCTCTGATAAAACACTGGACTCTGTCACTGTGGTAATAACTCATCACAGCGACTGAAAGGGAAACCAGAATCAAAGACACATTGTTAGTCAATAAACCAGAAACCGGCAAAGGTTTTAGAAAGGTCCGGTAGTGATGTCAAATGTGGTCCGAGAGGTCAAAAGGTCAAGCTGTGCCTCGGCGAGAGAGACATATATATATATATTTATATATATAAAACTATTTTTATAATATCTTTGTTTTGTTAAAAATACTTCATATGTGTCAAACCCAAGGCCCGTGGGCCAAATGTGGCCCACCAAGTCATTTTGTGTGGCCTCGCAGGAAGTCCATGCTGCTGAGATTCTTAACTTGATTTTTTTTAATTATACTGAGTAATGTACAATATTTGTAAATTAAATAATTACTAATAAATTGCAGACATATTAATATGTTATTTAGTAGAGAAACCCACGTGGGCCACACCTTATAGTCACCTTACCTTCCATCCATATTACAATGCTGCCCGGCCTCCTGTGTCCCTCACGGGTGTGATTGAATGTGAGGCGCCCTCTACTGACAGTAACCTGGATAAACAGCTCCAGCAGTGATGGATGATGGGAGGAGACGGCAGCTGGTTAAATGTGGTTTAACCTCCGTCCCTCACTGCTGTCTCCGTGTCCCACATACATACAAACACACGCACACGCAAACACGTCTCCTTGACGACTCGATGCATAAAACATGGAGCACAATTGACTGTCGTACATTACACACTGCGCTCACGTGAGCTTAATAGAAAATTGGTGTCTCACACACACACACACACATACATACATACATACAGGTTTTTGTGGTTTGTCAGCACTCCATATATATATATAATACATTCCCTTTGCCCCACTGTAATCTACTGTAATCTAGATTATTCCAAACACTGTATATGCCCTGACTCTAATCTGACTCTAAATTAAATCTAGAATTTAGAATAGACGAAAGGAGAAAATTGTCCCCGCAACAATGGCAGTTCTACACTAATATGTCCCCACAAGTATAGCTGGACCAGGACGACACGCCCACACACTTGCGCCGTGACCACAATGCGTTTTAGCGTGTGACCATTTGTCATGTCGTCCTCTCTGCTCCGTGTCCTCTCATTGAAGGACCTCGGAGACAACAGTGATGTATCACAGCCATCTGCACATGTATGTATATATGTGTGTATATAAATAAGTATGTGTGTGTGTGCACAAACACCGACTCACTTACCTTTGAATTTATGATCCAATAGCAGCGCAGCAGCTGGACGACAGAACGACAGAATTGCACAAACACACACACACACACACACACAGCAGCAGATTGGAAACGATGCGTTTGAGTTTCTCTGGTTCTCACCGCCTTATTAACACAACCTCCCATGGCCTGTACACACACACACACACACATGCACACACACACACAGACCTGCAGTTCTGCAGCTATTACAGTTAATAAAAGGCGTCCTGTGCTGTGGCTCCACCATGATTAACCTCGTTTATCAGAGTTATCCAGGTTTACACACACACACACACACACACACTGACACACACACACACAAACACACACAAAAGGCATTAGGAAAAAGAACATCTGCTGTTGAGAGAAAATGAGAATCTGTTGTCGGCCTCTTGGCATCGATGTGAAGGTTCAGAGACGCGTTAGCTTTAATGAGCGATGGTATTTTCACCGCTGTTTTCTGTTAACGTTGTTCTTTCACCAGCAGAGACAAGAAAAGACGAGACAAATCCGTTCAAATGGACGGCTTTAATAAAACTGTCCTTCATAAAGCCTCAGACACTGGGATCAAAAACATGAGAGTTGGACTGGAGAGACTTTCCTTATGGTGCCCCCTGGTGGGGGGGGGGCATTAAAAGCAAGCAGGGCAGAAATACAGTACATACATTCACACAGTGCGTAGTTGTTATATAATGTTACAATTTCCAGTTATTGAATTTACCGTGTTTCGTAGGGACGTCCGATAAAATCAGCCCACCGTTATTATCGACCCAATATTAGCATAATTATCTAATATCTGTAAGAATCGTTATCAGGTTTTCCTCTGAAAACACAATAACGCGATGCCTGGGTTTCGCCAAATGATCGGTGGCCTAAAAATAGTTTTGGGGAAAAACAGCTGTATATGAAAGTGAAAGTCACTAGATGGCAGCATTGCAGCTCATTTTATTAATCTATTATAATCTCAATAGTACTTCTATGGGGGGGTTAAAAAGATTCTCTCCCCAAGGGGGTGCATGGCAGAAAATAATTGAGAAACACTGCTTTAACCTATCACCTCAGTCAGCAGGTGGCACTTAACGTCCTTCACCACTAGATATCGTAATCAGAAACTACATGTTTGGACAATATCGGATATCAGATATCGCCAAGTTAATATTGGATGTCCCTAATATTTAGTGTAAATGACATCCTGTCATTAGGCCCCCTAGTGGACAGTGACACAGATTTGTCACATCTGCAGTAAATCAACAACCGTCTGCCTCTAATTCCGACTCAGTGAGATACAGATGTATCCAGTAATCCCTGTTTTGTAGCAGAATCAAAAGCCAGAGCGGTGACAAAGTGGTTAAAATGGGTACTGCTGCTGTCGAGACCCGTGGATCTGACAGAGGTTTATTTCCAGACACCTTTATTTCTGCTGGCTCCTGACGTCCCTTTTTTTTGTTACATTCTGTGCATGAGTCAGTCTTAAAGAGAGAGTGAAAATACAAATGTGAGGAGCCCGGAGGCCTGAAGGTGGCGTTTAAAATGAGTAGGTGGTTTTTTTTTCTTTTAATGCAGAAACGATGAAAAAGGATCTGTAGAGGTGAGGAGGAAATTGTTTTAAAATGAGTCACAAATGGACATGAAAGTGTACTGAGGACTGTTCAGGGACTTTAGAAACAGGTGAAAATGACAGGGGGGGGAGCGGGGGGGGGGGATGATGCTGCCGTTGGGCCTGAATCAATAACAGATCATTAAAATGCAAAGCTGTGCTTCATCAGTAACAAACGATGAAGACGTCGGTGCTGTGTGGTGGAGCGCTAACGCGTTAACACTGTATTTATTGTTAGAGCGTTTTCATGACTGGGAGGAAATCAAAGCCTCTTTGACCTTTTGAAAATGTATTGCTGGGAATTCAACAATAAATGGCCACAAAAAAAAAAAAGGAGCAGCAGAGACGGAGAGGTAGAAGGAAGTGCTTTGATGATTGACAGTTGAAAAGGGCAGCGGGCTCTTCAGGCAGCTGTGAACCACACACACACACACACACACACACACACACACGCAGCCGCTCCAGCACTCAGAAACCAACCACACGTTCACCCACCTTTTCCACGCGGTGAAGCGTGACATCAGACTGGGCTCGGCTGGTACTTTTCAACCTGACACTGAACAACCCCACTTCATACATACAGGGACAGGGACAGAGACAGAGACAGAGACAGAGACAGAGACAGAGACCACCGGCGTACGTGGTCCGTCTCTGACAGTTCACACAAACTGTTAGCTCTTACACAGCAAAGACTTATGGGTATTTACGTGAAGATATCCGGTTTCCAGAATGTCTGTCACCTCCTTTTAATATGACCATTTTTTTGCTCCATCTAGTGGCCACTCCTCTTCATCAATTTTCTTCCACAAATACAACAATCAGTATCCCCTGTTATGCAGATGACACCTATGTTTACATCACCAGTGAAGCCTTTTCTCTTTGGCAGAAGTCAAATTCTGTTGACACCTGTCACCTGAACCTGAACTGTTGCAGCTCCGTCCTCATTGGTCTCCATCACAAACTTATTCATCACGAACTCCTTGTTGTGATATTCTCTCTGCTCCCATCATTCAACGTTCTGGATACCAATTTTCAGGTCAAACAAAAGAGTGGACGTCTTTCCTGTCCACCACAGATGTCCATCTTATTCTCTCTGTTGTTCCGCCCCTGTTTTTATGACCTGTTGTTGGGACCAGGGCCAGTCGTCCAACGGTCCATTCACTGAGCCGTGGAAGGGAGTCCCCGAGGAGCTGCTGGAGTTTGGCAGACCAGGGACCAAATGGCACAACGCTGATTAGCTGTCAGGAAAGGACTGGTTTGGCCCAGAAGCCTGGGATTCAGCCATGTAAATAATTGATCGGAGTAAATCCGAGTCTGTGACGGCTGCAGGGATCAGGTCTAGTTTCAGCTTGTTGAATCTGGATGGGTGGAGAAAGGCTATAGTTGTGCTTGTAAATATGCAGGTTTGTAAATTAGCTGTCGATGGGATCAGTCTGAAAAACCTTTGTTAGTGTCTCGACCATAAACTGCAAACCCTGTGTGAAAATACGAGGGCAGATCAATGGTCTGAAAACATTTTCTCATTTCAGTCTGTCTCTTTAGTCTTGAAGACGTTTGAAATCAGAGTCAAATTCAAGCCTCAGAAACGGCAGCAGGTTTTCATGAAGCTCAGTCTGATTTTCGTACGTTCTCCCTCCGGTTCTTTCAGACACCTTTGCCAGTAAAGTGGCTGCCATCCAGGATCAGTACGCCGACGCATCCATTGGTAATGTGACGGGATCCAATGCTGTCAACGTTTTCCTGGGTATCGGGGTGAGTATTTAAGGGTGATTCAGACCCTTAAAGATTCAATGATTTTGCTCATTATATTTTTTCATCTCTCAAAATGTAGTAGTATATTTGCTCTGTGATTGGAAGAAGAATTTGAATGAACATCCCTCAATATTCATGTATATCTATCATTCCTTTTAGAAGGAAATTTTTTTAAGCATTAGGCTGATAATTGGCAGAAATCTGGTGATACGATAAATATCACAATATGGCGTCAATACGACCATATATTGCGATTCTGCAGGTGCAACGATATATTGAATTTTTTTAAACAATTTATAATAAAACTGTAACAATTTTGTAACAACAATTTGTAATAAAACTGTCATCCTAGTCTCAGACTCTGCTGCTGTTCCATCTTAACATCAGGTTTCTAACATTGGAACAGAGGGATCTACGTTTGATTCTTGTGATAAAATGTCATGGCCTGTGTCGCCTACAGGTGGCGTGGTCCATTGCCGCCATCTACCACCAGAGCAAGGGGGAGGAGTTCAGAGTGGACCCGGGAACACTGGCCTTCTCGGTCACTCTCTTCACCATCTTCGCCTTCGTCTCCGTCGGCGTACTGATGTACCGACGGAAGCCGGAGATCGGGGGGGAGCTGGGTGGTCCTCGGACTGCCAAGGTTCTGACCACCATGCTGTTCGTCAGCCTGTGGCTCCTCTACATCCTCTTCTCCTCACTGGAGGCCTACTGTCACATCCAGGGCTTCTAAGACGTCGGGAGACGACGAGGCCCGACGGCCACGACAGAAAGAATGTGGAAGAAGAAGAAGAAGAAGATGATGATGAAGAAGATGAAGAGACGGAGGGGAGGTGAGTCAGAAAGTGAGACAGTCTGGTTGATCAATCGCTCCCTCCCTTTTACGCAATAGATTGAATGATGGATGAATGCATTAGATGTACATACAGAGGAGTGGAGGACGCATCAAAGCAATTTTAAACACAGCGGAAAGAAGTTCTGGATACACTGAAGGACGACGGCAAACGGGGAAACACAGGAGCTGAAGAACCGGCTCAAAATATTTCAAAAACTATGGAATCCTTTCTGTGATCTGTCAACACGAACCAATCAACTTTTCTTGAACTTTCTTCTTGTTTTAAACACATCAAATGGATCTAAGAAAAAAGTAAAATTGAAATAAATACGAAGCTGCTTCAGCCATACGACAGAAACAAGTCAACAACGTGGGGAGGAAGGAGCTAACGCTAACGTCCGACCGCAGGTGAACTGAACCAGTATGTTTGTGCATGATCAGACAAACTGACGGCTCAGAAGAAGAAAAATCCATTATTTTACCTGCAACTGTTATTAGCCAATGAGCTGAGAGCTGGTGTGTGACAGTGTTCCTGTGCTTGTGTGATGTGGGAAGATGGTCACATACTGTGAAGAGTTAAAAAAGAAAAAAAAAAAGGCCTCTGGTTTGGCTGTCTGTGCAGCGCTCCAGTCACTCTCTCTCTCTCTCTCTCTCTCTCTCTCTCTTCTTCTGTCTTTCTGGCATTTTCTCTCTGCCTGTACAAATGCTTTTTAAGAAGGTCACAATCAGCCGAGAGAAGGTTTTTTTTTTTTTTTTTTTCTGAGGTTAGAAATGTAAATATAATAATAGGAGTTGAACTAGCGCCGCAGCTCCACTCCATCTGAATGTCACCGTCTAGGCTCCCGACGGCGCCCTCCTCCTGTTGATTTATACTATAGAACAATGTAGTTATGATTTAAGGTCTAATTTTAATCGAGAAAAAAAAGGGGTTATTTAAGTGTGCTTTTACCTTTAATAATGGCCATGTCCGAGAAGGAAAAAATGGCCACGAGTACCGTTAAAAACTGTTAGCGCATCGATCGCCGTTGCATTAATATCTAGAGTTAATATTCCGTCTGTTTTTATCTGTGGGATCCTGTGGTCCAGTTTTTCACCGTGGTTCTGTGGTCAGTAGTGGTCATAGACGTTCACGCCGCTTCTGTCGTCACTCTCCTATTGGTTTACTAACAGTTTTGCTCATCCCAGTGTGTTTTGAGCGCCACCTACTGGCTGGGCAGTGGAACAATCGAAAAATTCCTCAAGGGCTTTATAAGAAAGAACCACTAAGACCCATCCGTGAGCTCTGATTTAGGATTCTGCGTCTGGAGTGATAGTCTTAGACGTGAACATCGCTGGTGTAGGTTTGAGGTTTGACTTCTACGTAATTCACATCGCTTCTTTTCACTAGTCTAATTCCAAGTCAAACACTACTCCTATTATTCCTCTTTTTTTAATCCGTGTGTAGACCGGCAAATGTTCAAAGAACGTTGCTAAGTTGTGTGGAGTCACTACTGTTGGTGAAAGAAAAAGAAGTTGTATCTCGATTCACTGATCAAAATGAAATGAAAACTCTGGACCTCTCCACGTCGGCCTCAGAAGTAGACCAGGTTAGAACCAAAGCTAAGACCGACCCAGATCTGCCAACATTTCCACTGGTACCACCTGGTTTCTTTAATGACTTATCATTGTGGAGTCTGAGCTCTGATTGGTCGATCCGAGATCTTTTCCCTGGTCTAATTCTAGTAACACTGTTTTGGGGAGTCTGGCCGACTGGTTGCTGGCTTTTGTTAACACATCACATATGGTGACAAAACTAAAAGACAAAAACAACAATAATAACAGGCCAGAACTGGTCAGCCTGAAGGGGAGGAGTCGGATTATTACACCAAAAATCTTCATACCATCATTTCAGTTGGCCGCTGGGACTGTTCTTACAATGAGCTTAATTTAGACTGTTTGGCTTCTCCTCTAGCTGGTTCCCCCCCCGGGGGGCCATTGAAATAATGAGTCCATTTGTCCAATGAGCTCATGCTAATTAGCACGGCAGTCATTTTGATGAACAGTGGCTAAATGTTCATTATCGAGCACAAACTAGTGAGAGTTTTTTTGGGGGGGGTTTATCTGCCCCAACTGATTTAAAAACTAATTCTAAGTAGATTTACTCCCACGGTTTGTCGTGGTGTTGTTGTTGTTGTTGTTTTCTTTTTCTTTCTTCTTTTTCGGCTGTCTTTCTCCTGCCTGGCAGCTCCGTCTCCAACATCCTTTGTCCAATATGTCTCCTCCACCACGTCCTGTCCAACCCAGTCTGTCCCTTTTCCACTGTCTTCATGTTGGACAGGCCGTTGACTCCAGATATTGAAACAACTCCATCTTCACTACCTCTACTGTTTTTCGTCTAGGCTAAAAAAAAGAATTACTTAACAATTTAAGGCAAGTTTAGGAACATTTTACTATAAACACTATAAAAAGCCACTGACAACGACGTCACGTGAAACAAACGTTGTTATTATGACAAAAATCTTTCCCAATCGTGTGTCCACAAAAATGTGTAGCGCATGAATCCCGATCCCTACATGTATATTAGGGATGTCCCATATGAACTTTTTGCCGATATTGTCCAAACACTTTTTCGTTATCAAAAAAACGATAACGATTCTTACATAATTATGCCAATATCGGCCGTTAATATCAGTTGGCCGATATTGTCGACATCCCTATAAATCTGTGCGTGACTGTGTGTGACTAGCGCAAAGGTTTACACTATAGACTGTTAACTCTTTGTTCGACTTAATCAACAGAGACTGAAGTCGTTCGTTAACCTAAATGTCTTCGTTAGCGTTCAAAGGTCCATTGTTCAAATGGCACAACACTGTATGCATCGGAATTGGCCAGAGATTTCCTGCTGGTATTGTGTTTTTTAAACTTGTCGGGTTTTTTTTTTTTTAACCATTATTGAAAAAGTCTTCTGTTCGTTGGGTTGTTTGGACATTCAGTGACTTCAGTTGTTCTTGGTTTTTCAGTCTTATAAAACCCTGTGAGGGTAGAGTAGGGTTCGGATTAGCCGTCAGTTGTTTGAGCTTAAAAAAAAATTGGGACGGTCTCCAAAAAGGCCACTCCAGAACCAAAACATGTCAGTAGGTGGTGCTAGCCTGATGTCCAGCACTGCGCTTCGTGCACTAAAATTTGACCAAACTCGCAGTTTTGTGCTGCTGCAAAGTCTTTAAACAGAGGCAGTTTTGAGCAGAAAACAAACAAAAAAAGAAATCGCTGCAGTTGCCAAAATCTGCACAATGTGAAGGCCTTGGAGTGGCAGTTTACCCCTGTTTTTGCCAAAGGGAAATGTTTTTATCTGAATTTTGCAGTCCAAACAACATAGGGTTTTATAACCAGTAAATCTTAGAAACAAAAATTTAAAAAAAAATCATATATCACTACAACAACAACAACAAAAAAAAGATTTAGAAAGACACCTTGATATTGTTAACATTCTCTTGAATCTTTCTATTTGAATTTATATGAGATTGTCTCTTCACTGGCATGGAGCTGAAGGTTTATACACTGTAAAGAACAATATATATATAACGCTAGCTTGCGCAAAACAAAGAAAAGAAAATGTAGAAGCCGTTTGCGTCAGTTGTTTTTTTAGTTGTTTTTTTTTTGAGTAGTTCTAACAGGGTACTTTTGTCTTTGGTCAAACTACACCGTGTTGGATTTACTACGTAGCGAAAGCCTGCTGCTTGAATTGACAGAGAGAATTTTGTGGAGGGAAGCAACTCTGGTTCGTTGACTTGGCGTTAGTTACAGGAGCTAACGTTTTAGCTCATATCAATGTTAGCTCATTTTTGTACCGCGTCTCTCGTTTTACTTTGTCTTAAAAGCTAATCTGATGTAATGTTAACGGCAGATTAGCCACAGCCACTGTTTAAAAAGCTGATGCTAATGCTAATATCCCTTGGTCTGAACCAAGTTTGGAAGCTAAACAACTTAGCCACCGGTTGCATGTTAACTTAGCCACAGTCAGTTTGTTTTTCCTGTAGAACTATAACAGTAGACAGATCAAGAAGTTTCATCAATTCCTGCAGAATTAATAGTCTTAATAATTAGTTCCAGACTGTTTTCGATCAAATATGATGTCAGAAAACTAACATTTAGCCTAAAGAGTCGAGGCTTGTCTTAATGTGACATCATGTGCCTAGGTTTAGCTACCAGACTTGGTTTAGAAAGGGTCGAAGGAAAGACATCGGCCATCGCTGTACTTAAAGCAAGGAGGAAAAAAAAAAAGTTCTGTGGTTGGAGTTCGAAGAAGGTTTGAAAGTGAAGGAACAGCTTTGCACTGGTTCTGTTTTTGTTTGTTTTTTTAGGTTCAGGTGAAATGGCTGCTCTGTTGTTTCATTGATGTAAAACAGTGACAGAAATGTTTTGGAGTTTGTTAAAAGGGGTGTTTTGTTTTTTGGACTCTGATGTACACAATGATGAGGTCGTACAAAAAACAAAACAACAACAACCGTGATGTTGAATCAGTGGTGTCGCTGTCGGCCACTGTGCTGTGGTTGACTTGCGTTGCCTCGTTGCTGACTGTCTGACAGACTGAGGAGCGACAGCTGACAGACAGACAGTCACACAGACTTGAACTGAAGGAAGGACAAAAGCCACCACTCCTGGTACGACGCTGGGTGACATCACACTGGGACGTGGAGAAACAAACACTACCAGAGCTCTTCTCTACACTTGAGGTGACAAAGAACAAAAAAAATAAAAAACACGTACGATTTAAACGATAAAGAGAGGAAAAGGGGGAAGAAGATGAAAATGAAAGAAAAAAAAAACAGCCATACATTGATTTCTGGGTCAGTGAGACAGAAATGGACTTCTCCTGCCCAGCATGTGTATCGTTATGGTGTCTGTCCGTCCCTGTCTGTCTCTTACTCCTGTCTTTCTCTGCCTCTTTGTGACCAGGTGGTGGTGGTGGTGGTG